TGGTTGCCTTTTTTATGAGTTCAACAGGGGAATTTTTCTTAAAATATTAATCTTGAGCACTCTTTCGTCTATCAAAACTTCTTTTGTGCTAAATGTAGATTTTCTTTGCTTAACATCTGCTGTGTATTTATTCTTTTACAGGTAACAGCTCCGTCGGAAGGGTCGTCTAGTGGCAGTCCCAAATTCGCCAGTACTCCAACTTCCAATATTTCTACGACTCCGAATACTTCTAGAAGTGCATCCCCAACAGGAACGCTAATTCTTGATAGCGATAATGTAAGCATGTGCCTCTTASTTGTAGGTTTTGTTGTTTGACGATAGTAATATACCTGTGATCATTTCTTTTAAATAATCTAGGATGAGATTGAGGATGATAGTGACAAAAAGGAAACCTCCAAAAGCCCTCCGGAAACACCAAAGAGTGCCAAGCAAAAGCCGAAGGTAAGTTTTTGTTTAAATCGTTCAAACTGACATGAATATAATAAGTGCTACAGGAGTGATTAATTTATCCTTAATTTATCAACTTGTTTTGTTGTCAAMCTAAGATACTTTCTCACACAATAAGCTTTTAAATTACTTTAAGTTAAAATAAGTTAATAAGCATTTATTTGGTTTCATTTATTTTAAGTAGAATAATCTACAAGCAGCATAGGTATTTATGAAAACATGGCRTAGCGACCWAAACTTCATAAAGTACTACATTTTTTCCACACAATCATTTCTTCATTGAAGTTCTTATTTATGATCGAGGTGTATACATGATGTGTGCGAGKCCTTTAGCCTTGGTATCACATCGTTAACATATGTATTGCTTGGTTATGGGTTTGGCTTCGRTGTTCAAATGTTTACTTGTCCAGATTTGTGACCGAGGTTTGTGCATGATGAGTGCGAGGCCCTGTGTCTCGGTATCCCATCGTACCATATGCATTGCTTGGTTTACAAATTAGGCAATTGTGCCAAAATGTAATAATATCACTGATAACATCTTAATTCCTCCTCTAGAGAATTATTTCACCTGGTGAGACAAGGAGAAGAAATGCTAGGCGCAAAAAGCAAAAAGCTTTGAAAAGAAAATTGAAACAAGATGCTAGAATGAATAGCTTTACATACATGTCAAAAGCCTGTAAAACTCTTGAGGCTAAGAACAGTGACATTCAAAAGTCATTCAATGCAACCGTTGTGCAAATGAAAGCTGTTCATAAAAAGTATGAAACTCTGAAAGGCCTGCTAGATAATGTTCAATCTGAAAATCAAAGTATCAAATCAACTTTTTTTAAATCAATCAGAACTGATCAACTTAYTTACATTAAAGATGAATTTGGTTCTGAATTGATTTTGGGAAAAGGAAGGTTTGGAATTTGCAAACTTATGCAGTTGCAAATAGGTGGAGAAAGCTTGAAGGTTGCTGCAAAACATTATGTAGSGGACACTAGTGAGGAAATTGTGTTTAAAGAAGCTCAGCTTTTGTTGCAACTTTCACATGAAGCATTTCCATATCTTTTTGGTGTTACACTTCTTAACTCAAATCATGTATTGGTCYTAGAATTTTGCCCAACAGCCGAGGGTAAGAGACATTCTCTTACTATGCATCAGATGCTCCAGTTGAAAAATACTGCAATTCCAGTACTTGACTGGCTTAAACTTCTAATGAAATGTGCCAATGGGTATGCTTACCTTCATTCAAAGGGTATTATTCATAATGATATAAAGGCCGATAATGTTTTGGTCATACAAGACAAATATGGGTCATCACACCCAAAGATAATAGATTTAAACAAAGCTGAGCACATAGAACAGTTAAGGCACTCATCCAAAAGAGAAATGTCTACCAGTGAGAGAGAAAAACGCAAACTTATGTATCCACATACTGATCCTGCCATATATGATGGATTTTACCTCCCTTGTAAAGAATCAGATGTATATAGTTTTGGTTATCTGACTAAGCATGTTGCTAAAGTCACTAGATCTGAATTGATATCTAGGCTGTCAACCAGCTGTATGAGTAGATATAGGAGGCCAACATTTGCCACAATAAAACAGGACATTTTGTCTATTTTGTAATAATATATTTTTGTAAGCTTGCATCTTATAAAGYGTAGAATTTATTATGTCACTGATGCACTAATAAACAAATAATTTCATTTTCACTGTTTGGAATGTAAATGTGTGTTGTTTTTTTTCCCTTGTTATATCTATTATTTAGATGATGAACTGGATTTCAAAGTTTGAGCTTCCAACACGAGTGAGTAAAAAGTTCATTCAGTATAATCAGGGATGCAGGGTTCTTCATTCTATATGTGCTAATGTGCTTTAGTATGTTAAGGTGATGTCATTGAAAAATATTGGTATGCTSTCTTTATGCAGTGCACAACTGAACAGCAGGAGATTCCCACTTACACATTTCTAACATTAATTTTCTTTGCCAGTTCTCTGCATCAGTGGAATTGGGTATCAAATCTAGAAGGTTGAGTGCAAATATGGTAAATGAAATGATAAGGGATGTTTGCACCAGCCTTCTAAGCCATACAGATCGTGTTAACAAGGCTGAGCGGGTCCAAATAGCAAAGCTGCTTATAGAAAAGTATCCATTCATGGCTGACAAAGCTGTTCTTGATGGTGCAACACCATGGGTAAGTAGCTTTTTTCCAAGAGTGTTTTGTTGGTTTATCTATAAATGCCTATCCAAAGTTGAAATTGATTTCATAGATTTCATRCACATTGAATTTCATATCGCATTGTTTATTAAATTGACAATTACTGTATCAAATTCAGGAAAGGCCTTTTGTATAGAATTAGTATAGTCTATTGTCTATTTGGCAGCCGATTTTCAGTCCATCGCGCAACTGAAATGCATAAAAAATATTAGTTCTTAAGGCTTTAAAAAATTTTAAATATGTTTTTAAGTACAAAATGATAGAAATTAAATGTTTTGACATTGTTTTGGCTGTGTTGCCATAGCGACTTAATGCTATAATTGTACTCCTCTCGACCAATCAGAGTCGAGTAATTTTGTTGAGTGTACTATAATATGGCTAATAGATCATTTCAGCATTGTCCTTTGTACAATATGGCATTAGAATGAAATTCCTTGGGCAAGCCCTCAAGCAGTGCACATTAGGTCTGAATACGGGTGCAAGTTTGTTTTTTTTAAAAATATTTTATGTTCTAAAATTATTGTTAATTAATTAAAACTTGAAAGTTTCTGAGGTCATTTGCAGGCTTTTTCTGTTTTTCTACCCCTAAGAGAGAAACTCACTGTCTAAAAATGCCTCCAAAATATATRATATATTTTTCCGAGTTCCCAAGGAATGCCTGCTGCCGCGCATAAAAGAAGCATTTCCACAGGGTTACCCACAATTGTATGYGATATATTCATACCAGTAATTACCAAAACAGCTCGTGGAAATTCTAAGTAGTTTGGACTAGCAAGGTCGACAATTCTTGCTTTCTCGTTGGCATTTATGAATATCTTACTTGCAACTGAGGCTAACCCTGTGCAAATACATCTGCAGTAAAGCAGTCATGTAAAATTTCTGCAGTCATGTTTTGAATTTAAAAAGGGTCTATTGCCATTGTAAAACTTATAAGAGTTTAAGAAGCCTATTCTTTGAGTCAGAAAATCGTGGGGCCCCTGTACTTTACTGCAGGCCAAYTGTCTGGCTGCAAAAATATCCCAATATTCTCATAAAGAAAGGAAAATAGATAATGAAAGCAACAGCACAGCAGCTTTATCCCCTGATCTTCTCTGGATTCAAAGAATATAGACCTGATGGCTTTTCTATGACATTCAACAATGATTGAATTACTTTTTATCYGCATGCCTATGTGTGTTATGACTTTTTGAAAGCATTTAAAAAGTTGTTTTTATGTAGTTAAAGTTATAGTTTAYAGTTTAATAGACCCTTTGCCAAAATGTATTATGCTTTTGTTTGAAGTGCAAATTTCTTGCTACTTCTTTCTCTAGAATCTTTAATTGATGTAACTGTTTTCTTAAGAGGAAATAACACCTTAGTTTTTGAAGGGTCAATGCAGAATACCACTTCTATCAGATGTCCTCGTGGTATTCATACAAACTTTCATGACATGCAGTTGCTGTGGTATTTTTCATTAATTCTTCTCAAACATTGGTATTTCCTATAACAATTTATTTCACACTACAACTTGTCCATGTCAAACAACTTGCCTACTTCAGCTATGAAAGCTGGAATGTGAAGGTGTAAAAAGCCTAATTTTATTCCTGTTTTAGAAATGTTCTTGAGGCTATGGTGCAGTCCAAGTTATCCATTGTAGTATACTGTACCGGAAGTCAAAATTACCTGTGTTCTGATTGGTCGACCAATCAGTATGAAGTATAGCTTGACAAATATGTTTAGTTTTTGAATGTGGACATTTTGAATTTTGACTTCCGGTACAAGTCCAAATGGACAACGTGCACAGGGRTGTTTCTCCWGGTAGTGAGGAAGGAGCAACAGAATTCTACCCCTGGGTTCCTGAATATAGTAATGATATTGTTACTTTGAAACTGATTATCAGAAATCAAAGAGTAATTGTATTACTGTGACTACTTAGTYAACCAAACGCAGGTTTGGATTTCCTTAGGGTGCTTTGGCTTTGAAGGTAAGTGTACAATAGCTAGATGTCATGTAACCTTTCTCATTGACAAAGAAACTTCTATTAAAGATGAATTTGAGACTTAACATTATTGGTGTGAAAAGCTGGATCAGAGTTGTCCATTTTATTATTTTATTTCATCAACCCATGTTCTTTGGAGTTAAGTTACCCCTTGAATTTACTCTTAAGTATAACTGTGTCTTCAGKACCCTACTAAAGCCACATCCTATGTAAGCATTTTAAAGTGGAAGGGTGAATCAAGCAATTAAATAGGGTCGTATTGGCACCTCCAGAAACCCTAAATCGTCATGCCTTTGGGGCATTTTGACCCCAGTAGAAGGGCTGAATTAAACAATATGAAAGGGTCGTATTGGCACMTCCAGAAACTCTAAACTGKCATCCTTTAGGGCATTTTGACCCCAGTAGAAGGCCGAATCAACCAATAATATGGGTCATATCAGCTCCTCTGAAATTCATTATAGCCCCCCCAATTTTCACATCGGCCCCCCTTTTATGTCCTTTTAGCCCATTTGTGGGRTCTATTTGGCGCAACAAAAAGGGGCCAAAATAGCCCATCAAAAAAAGGTTTAAATTAGCCCGTTAAAATGGTACTATATTTTACTCACCGAAATGACCCTTTTTTTTTTTTGGGCCAAATTAGCTCTTTCCGATTTACAGTGTGCTTTTTTAATTACCTTGGTATAAAAAAAAAAACTAATTAAAACAAAACGCATTAAAAAATATCAAACCCTTGGTAATTCGTTAGCAAATACAGTCTTAATTCTCTGTAAAAAAACAAAAAAACACTAGAGCTTGGGGAAAAAAATTAGAGGATGGTTGATCGTGCAAGAAAACATATGCGAGGTCCACAGCTTTAGATAGTTTAGTATCATTATTATTATTATCACCTTCATTGATTTTTTTTTTTTGCCCGGTAACCTTGGCACATAGACCTCACTGTCTGGTGCAAACGACAAAAGAATTCTTATTTTAGGCATATCTCCAGTTATTTAGAAATGATGCTTTCAAGTGCAGGCTCTTTTTATTTTATCAACTCAAACGGGAAAACAGACAAAAGGCTTAAATAAATTATTCAGTGATAATTTAATTATTTAAAGTTCTCAAGATGAGCTCCAAGAAACTATAAAATATCTAGCCACCCCTCTTGTTTGGGAAGATGAAAAATACATTGAGTATTCCGACTTTTTTCTATATTTTAGCTTCGTCGGTCCTTTGGAAATCATAATGGCGTACAAAGAACATATTTACAAACATATATACATGAGAGGCAAATCTCCCGTAACAATCAGAAAATGCATAAAATAATATCGTCCTTGTAACTTAATACTGTGGGGCTAAAACCTTTGTGGGCCTTCATGTTGTGATCACACGAATGCAGTCGTGCGGAATATATGTTGATTTAACACGGTGTTTTGTGTTTAGTTAAAAGCCGATATGTTTTATATATGGCTAATCTTCGATCCAAATCAGCAATACATTTTGTAATTTCATTCAATTAATTTTCCGTTCCATGATTAAGCCGAGAGCTCTTATGATGCACTTGATTTGAAAATTTGAAAATTCAAGGCACCAAACTGAACATTCTCTATTTGTCAGGTTAAAGATACACCGGTTTTTAATCCTGGCAAGCACCACAGAATCCTCGTCGAAAGTAGACTTTTAAAAACTAAGTCCTATTTTTATTGCTATCATACGGCACTCGTTATAATCAGTGGAACTGAAAAACAGGAGATGTTGACTTGTATCAAGTCATCTAAGTCGTAAGCTGCTTTAGTCTTTAGAAATACAATTGACTTATTCACTTACTGTCACTCGTCCAAGATACTGTTAAGTTGAATTGTCTTTACTGGTAACGCTTTTGGAGATGCTGAGAGCCAGTTAAATGCGATGGAATACGCTTCGTAGAGCACTAATCTGATTTATACCATGCAACGTGTCAGAGGCGAAGAACAAGCGACATCCAATTGCCAGATATTTATATTCGTTGAGGCGGGCAATAACACGGTAACAGCTTTGAACGTGCTCAACTTTCTTTCTTTCTTTCATTTGGTTATCTCTATATTATCTATGCGGTTTTTTACTTTGCTTTTTTTTCTTCTTATTGAATACGTACCTCTTTATTTTACTCACCCACAAGCACATGGTCTCCTGAGCACAAAGGGATGTTCAATAACGTGCAGGAAACATATAAATGATTGATTCATTCTTTTGAGCTACATAAAACCATCATTATTATTCGAGTGGTTTTACTTTGTCCGTGAAAAAATAGCAAGACTAATGCACAGTAGTAGACACTAGTTCCGTCGCTTTCTTTTGTGTTACTTTGGCTTGATCACTAATTATAAGACTTTATTTCACGGCCCAAGTACAATTGGCACTCTAGTATGGAATATTGTCTAGACCACTCGAATGACAAGTTCAAAGTTTTAGAATGCATCAGTAAACTGGAGCTTTTTTGACTAAGCCTGAAAACGCGAGGCTTGCTTATATTCAAACCCTTTATGCTTGCTTTCAATATATTAGTTTTAAATAATCCTAGTATACACTTAATTAGTGTTTTGATAAACCTCTTAAAGGCTACCTCAGCACTTAGTGCAAATCTCAGCTCTGAAACCTTTCCTAAAGTAGAAAATATAGTCCATTTTTCGAAGGAAGAAATTCAAGTTCCCATTCCTAGACAGTATAAATGCTTTTAGATTCATTAAACAGAGTTGGGATTAGTAGTAATAATCTCTTGATTATTAACGGAAACATGATGTACTGATACCCTTGTTCACGCACGGTCGAATGTAAAATTAGGAATGTTAGTTTAGGAAGATTATGTCTTGCACATTATATGCCAACCTGTTTATCTATATGTAGATGGCTGGTGACAAGATATTAAAGTCATTTAGTAGTGAGGAAAATCATATTAGCCGTTGTTAATTATCCTGTAAGAAGGAAATTTTATATAATACATCCCTGGCAAGGGGCTAAGAGTTACTAATCAGTCACTCCACACCGCGGAATACTTTTCATTTTTTCGCTGTGAAATAAATCAAAGGAAGTCGAATATATTTTATGTTTCTATGAATAGCTAACCTTTTAATGGATTTGCCCTTTTTTTATATTTATTACTTTAGTCGCTCCCCCGAAACTGGTTAGACCAAAAGCCTTTTAGTACCAAAACGAACTGATTTTTAAGCTTCATTTCAGTTTACTACGAATGTTGAAATGACAAGGAAATAGAAGATTAAGAAAAGATATAAGAAGATATGATGACATGACGGTTCTCCTAAAATCCAAGTGACTTTACCTATTTTTACATTTGGAGACATGAAACCTAAGCCAAACCATTCTTACTCAATATTGTTTTTAAGAATGTCAAATGCCGGAAACATTTTCAATTTCAGTTGAATGGAACAGAACAGCGTTGATCACGTTATTTAAGAATTAGTTTAGTAGGGGTGAGGCAAGAAATAATTGTTAGGAGTTTATCAGTAGGCACAAGGAAGATCGTCCTCCTTCACCTTATTGACTACTTAAGATGCCAGATACCGGGGTGTATATGTGTTATAGTGTGGATCATTGCTATACGGAAATAGATCAGTATTGCTCATACCTTTGAACAGACAGTACGACCATGCATTACTGCAATTACGCAGTTAACACGGTCTAGATAATTCAAAATATCATAGAAAACCGACTGGATGCAAGAGTTGTTTGATTAAACGTTTTGTTATCTGGGGATTAACATTTAATTGTGTTTACGAAACAGAACTCAAAATCATGATTTAACTGCTGTCGTGCATGGCGCTGTAAGAGTTTGAGTCATGTTGGTGGCAATGAGTGTGATGGCCATGATAGGATGATGATGACGATTATGATGGTGGTGGTGGTGGTGGTGGTGGTGATGAAAGGTATTCGGTCTACTTGCTTTATTAATGCAATCAAACATCTTTTAACTGTTAGAGCGGAATGACTTAAAAGGAAGTGTATTAAGGCGTCATTGAATGTCACGCAGACTACAATCATCARTAGTTGTTTAGCAAATCAGTTTATTGTGCCTCTGGACGAAGATGTAGTTGCATCATACAACTAATACCAATTCTGCAATTCACTAGCTAATAAGCCCTCGTTAAAATGTTGACCAATCAGAAGAGACAATAGCTGCATAGATTGTCAATATTTACCAGGTGATCTGATGAGGGGCGCAAAGATCGAAAAAAACTTATCAATCCCATCAACCACCGCACACTCACTGCACTTGAGCCTTTGGTAGCTGCCATCTTGTTGAAAAAGAGACGCTGTCTTAGAAATTTAAGGCTTTTACTATAGTTTTACAGCATCCTTGACTTTGCCAAGAACACTAGGAAAGCATAAAATGTGAATTTTGTAGTTAAATCCTATCAAGGAGTAGAGAAGTTTTCTGGTCTTCTTCGAAAGCGTTTAAGTGGATCCTTTAATAAAACACGAAGAATTGCCAGACCGAAAAAGGTAAAGTTCATGAAATTCTTTAAAGTATAGAAAAATTTAATTAAACCCTTAAATCTTCGGCTGAAAAACACTTTTCCTCGCATTAGTATTGTCAGCCATTTTGTTTTGTTTTGAGTTCAGTTTTCCCCTACTAATCGAGGACTGGGTGCGCGGGTGGCGTGCGCTGCTAATGCGCCGCCTCTCACCAATGCGACGAGCCGAGTGACGATCTCGATGTCGTATGTGAGTAGAGTTGTTTGTTGGTTCTCTCCTGTACTTCGAGGGTTTTCCTACGGGTTCTCCGGTTTTCCTCCCTCCTCTAAAATCAACTACTAAATTTTAATTCGATCTTGGGCTTTCACCCGAAGCATGGCGGATAGTTCCGTTCGTGATTGTCCCACTCTGTGATTACAGAGAAAACTGGTAGATTATAAAGACGCATGGGATGGATTTTTCTTCCGAAAACGGATTCAAAATCCGATTGGCTAATTGTTTTTCCTCAGATCAACGAAAATCAATATATGTATTCTATTCGTCTTAAGCCATGACTATTTCAACAAAACGATAAGATCAAAAGCTTAATTAACTTTCATGAGCGGGTTACTTTATACGGAAGGTGAAAGAATTCGTTCAATATCAAAATGAGAAATGAGATCAAATCTATGTATGCAGCAATTGCAAATGGATATTAAGTTAAGACTTTAAATTAATGCGTCATAGATCATTATCAGAAAACTCCCAAATTTCGCCTAACAAGCTAACGAAATTGCTACTACGATCGACCCTACAAACGAAGTACTAAAACGAAGTAGTAAAATACTATAATACTTAATAAATCAGTGACAGCCACATTGTTGTCGAGCAGTTTCTTTCAAAATGTATAGCTTTCGTCTTTTTAAGATGTGTAACTAAATTCAGTTGGGATGAATTTGAAGTAATATTTCAAACACGCGAGAGAGTCCTTCCTCCGATTTCCAAACACCGAAAAGTGAGTTGAAAAAACGAGGCGCAGCCGAGTTTTTTTAACTGACTTTGAGGTGTTTGGAAATTGGAGGAAGGACTCTCTCAAGTGTTTGAAATTACTTCTCAAACTCATGAATGTTTCTTGGAGAAAATCAAAGAAAACGTTTACAAAATTTAATGCAAATTAAGAACACATTTCCAAACCACCGTCACAGTAGTGATTTGCTTTGTTTTCTCTTCATTAATTATTCATGAGTATGAGAAGGAAGAATGTTAACCTAGAAGTAGATATTATGACCAGCCTCTTTTATTTCTTGTAAATAAGTTTTTCTTAACCTCAGCTAAGAACGAATCAGAATAACTAACCTTTTTTTGTTTGCTTGATTGAAGAAAACAATTACAGCGGCTAAGTTTCAGACGATTTCTAGTTTCGTGGACCAACTATTGCATGGTAATCGTTTTACTGGCTGATGATCTCATGATGTCATTCTGTCAGTGCACTAGGCTGAAACACTCGGATAACGAGACTTTTAGATAAAAAGGGATAATGAGGGATGATAAGGATTTTTATGGAAGGTGACAACACTCAACCTGTCCAATTAGTATATAGTCAACATACGCATTACATCTAAGTCAATCGGCCGCTAACTCACTGGATGAGAATTAATAACGATGTATTGCTTGTTTTCCTTACCTTTTCCCGTACATAGTGTTAGGAAATAATCAAATCAAATGGATCGCGGAAATTGATCGTAACCTTGAGATATTTAACGCCAAAGGGTATAAATGAAAGAAATTTTTGCTTTGAACTGATTAATGTTGAGTCTAATTTCCTTTGCGGTAAACGGTCATGGGTTGTTATAATCATGCACTATACTTTCAGGAAATGATCTCTCCAGTGTCATGGATGATGATGATGATGATGATGATGATGATGATGATGATGATTGCGAACACACTTTGAGATCATAAGTAATGATACAGTATATATGAAGAGCCTTTTTCAACTTCGTACCGCTGTGTTTCTTGATTGCAGACTCAATTACTCAGGCTTAGCCTCGTTTCAGTGTAAAAACTCACAAATACTAGCGGTAAAGTAAAGAATGCATGTCTTCAACAATAAAAACACTTTGCCAATACAACGGAGCTTCACTGGAACTTGAATATTCTACACAAAATCGAGGTTAACCCTTAGCCTGAGCAATAGATATTTTGAAACCTTGGCATCAAAGCAGAAATGATCACATTTTACTCATTCAAACAGTATATGTCTCCTTTTCGGGGCAATAAGCCTGAAGCGAGATGACGTTTTACCCCCGACTCTATACCATAATAGTTTTTAAAATTCTTTCGTATTAAGATTTTTGATTCCTTAGAGAATACAGGAACAATAGTCATAACTAAAGAACAAAAGCAGTGTGAAAAGGATTATTGTCTAGAGACGGGGGTAAACGTCATCTCGCTTCAGGCTTATTCACTTTCATAACAAGATTGTCCACCACTTTTATATTTATAGATATAGATGTGTAGATAATATTTTTGATCAAGTCCCTTCGTATAATGTAGATTTTAATCAGTTAGACTTCCTATACAGATTATAGGCTTTAGGCGAATTTATGATTATTGCTAAGATTGATTTAAAGAAATTGAATTCTAGACTGAATTTGATATTGTACACCAGTGATTTATTATTTTTAAAGTTAGCTTTTCAAATAATAAATAAGTTAGTTTTGAAAAGTTGAGCTCTCTAGACTAAGAGTCATCTGAATTTTATTATATTCGATGCGATCATCTCAAAATATGGGGGTCTTTCCTCGTGTAGCAAGCAAGCATGGGAGGCAGCATGGTCGAGTGGTCATAGCGTCGGTCTCGCAATCCGGTGGTGCCGGGTTCGAGTCCCGCTGTGGCCACTAACTGAGACTGTATTTGTTCCGATTCCTGATTAGTTCAGATTCAGCTTCTCGACCATGATTGTCAATAGCCAACTGGTTTGCCTCCTTGCCAGTTGGGATTCTTAACACGCTTTATGTTCATTTAATCTTTCATTTCAGTTTATTAATCGTAGGAGGGCCATAATGGAAACTACTGGGTCACCAGTAATGTATGTCACCCTCGGTAAATAAAGTCAATTTAATTTAATTTAATTTAATTTAATTTAATTTAATTTAATTTAATTTAATTTAATTTAAGCTTTTATGGGTTACGGTTTTTGTATTGAAAGGTATGGCTTTACTCCAATTCTAAAAATCATTAATAATTCATGAGGAAAACTGCCAATCAAGAACGCTGTAATGATCATGTGATCTCATCTGTGTATGTCAATACAGGGCCCAGTTGTTCAAAGCCCGATTAGTGCTAATCCTGGGTTAA